GTTTATGTATGATGGTTAAGATCGACACCATTATGGTTAAAATGATCATTATTTATAATTGTACATTCTACATTAAAAATTTCACCATGATGCAATAATATTAGAAAAACCTTTCCTTGCCATGTACATTGTTTTTTACAATCATTCACATACATTATATTTTATAGAATTATCATTGATCTATGCCTATTCTCATTCCATCTTTCAATTTTCCACTGACCCTTACCTATTCCTTCACCCCACTCTTGACCCACCAATCTCTTCTATTCCAGTGACTTAATATTCTTAGTCAAGAATAGAATTCAAAGGCAATAGTTCACCCTCAGTCTTTTTTATTCTTTGCCTAACTTTCACATGCATTTGTTGTTGTTGTTCCTGTGTACCAATGGGTCGGAACCAACCCATAGCTGACCCTCCAGCAGGGAAAAACCTCTATTTCTTAACAACCACTTTCATGTCTCCTTTTCTCCAAGGAAGGCATTAAACTGCCTTCCACTGCTATTGCCTCTTCTGTATATTTCATAAGTGGAAGGATACACAATATATTGGGCTTCTCTCAATGTTTCCAAGTTTCATACATGCGATATCATGGATCGGCACTTCTGAGAATATACTGCTGTAGATGATACCAAACTTTGTTCTTTCGTCAGCTGGTAGACATTTGTTAGCTCCCCTTCTTGGCCACGGTTGAGAAGTGCTACTGTGGATACCTATGTTCGATTTTGAGTGGCATGTGCTTAGGAGAGGGGCTGCTAAGTCATATGGTTATTTCACCTTTCATTTAGGGGGTTCTGGTGGTTTAGTGGATGAGGAGTTGAGCTGCCAACCCGAAGGACGGTGGCCCAAATCTACCAGCTGCACTGAGAGAAGATGGAAAATCTTTTCCGGTGTGATTTACAGCCTCTGAAAACCTAACAGAGGATCAATTATAAGCTGGTTTCGACTTGATGGCAATGAGTTGAGATTTCATTTTATTGGGGTCAATCAAACTGTTTTTTCTGATGATTGCATCATTTAATACTCCCAAAAGGAATGTATAAGGGTTACAGAGAATCTAAATTTTGCTCGCGATCAATTAAAAAACATGTTTTCTCTGTCTTTATAGTCAACTCAGTGAATATGGTGTAATACCTCACTCTGGCCTTGACACATTACGTTGTCCAGGTAACAAAAAGGTCAGTGGTTTGAATACACCATGGGGGAAAGAGAGATCTCCTCCTGTACAAATTGCTAGTGTTGGAAATCTGATGGAGGTTTGTCATGAGTTGAAGTCTTCTCAAGGACAGCAGGGTAACGACTAAAGATGCCAAGCATCTTTTCAAGTGCATGCTCGCCAGTTTTAGATTGTCTTTTTAATGGTTTTGAGTTTTACTCTGCCTTCCCGCCCATACTGTGATCTCTCTTAGCGTCAGGTCAGCAGAGCTACTCAGGCACCATCTCATTCATCTGGGGAGCCGGCTCATGGAAGTTGAGATTCCCATGGTCTGCTGGTCCTTTGGAGTCATTGTTTCTGCACATCTTCACTTTTCTTCCCTCCACTATGCTCCACACAGGGACAGACCAGTAGTTACACCTCAGATAGCCTTTCAGAAGCTTTGAGGCTCCCAGTCTTTACTCATCAGTGCATTTCCTATTTAGTTTTGGTGACCGTTATTTGTCGTCAAGTATAATCACTCAAGTTTAGGTTCCCTGAGCTTTTGTCATTTAGGGATTTAACAGAGATAACAGATAGCTGTACTGAAAAGAAAGAGAAGAAAATTCCAAGATCAGATCTATTTGGGAGACTGTGTCAATGTCTACTCAGATTCAGCTCTGCTTCTGTTCACCTCCTGATTACTGGAAGACCAAGGTGGAGCTGGAAGTAAAATCTTGAGATTTTCTCCAGTCATTTTTGAGCATTCACTGATGAATATGTGTAGGGCCTTCGGGATTCCCTAGTTGATGTGAAATGCTTTTCAAATGGCTTATTTTCTTGTGTATCTCTCCCCCTAACCTCTTCCTTCCTAGGCTTTCCAGCCTTCCTGCTGTTTTCCCATCTGCTCTCTTCTGCTGAAGGACTGAGATGTTTGCATAGCAATTCAAATTCTTTAAACAAAAGCTGCCCACATGAGAGGTCTGAGGAGCTAAAAAAAATTTCCTGAGCTAATTCTCCAGGCAGTCACTGGAGAGGTGAACCACAGAGAGGTGAAATTCTTCCAGAACACTGTGTTGTCCTCTCTGGCACCAGCAAACCATACCAGGCACACCAGGCACAACATGCCCTTTGATTTCTTGGTTGCTGTTTCCATAGGTATTGATTGTGGATCCATGAAAAATGAAATAATCAACA